AAGTTTTCTTGCATTGACAAATATTATGGGAACATTTTAAAAAGACTGAAGAAAGAGTTCTGCCATCAGGTTTAAACTGGAGGCTGATTATACATGGTGTATAATTTCACCGATAGAGTACAATACACCTTAAGGAAAATGGAAAGGCCTTTTTTTGTATCATGCAGAATATATATTCCCGAAGAGTTCAGGAGGATTTTGTACCTTTATATAGAACCCCCCTTCCCTTATTTTTGGTATGTTGCTCAAGTTCAGGTACATTAGAAATGAGAGCCCTTTAATCACTCTTGTTCCAGGTTTTCCTGTTGCATAGCTGCCAAACCATCTGTTTTGTGCATGCCTTTGATATTTATTTTTAAAAGCTCTCCCTTGCCATTCTTCGTTTATCCCCCTTTTCTTTGTTCCATCCTTTCTGTTTCCTTCTCCTTTTTTTAGGCTTTTTCTTATCTTCTGTTCCATTCATTTTCTTTCTTCAAATTTGCCTCTTTTCCTTACTTTCTTGGTTTTTATTCTTTTATCTTTTAGTCTCATTGTATCCCTCTGTTGTTTTCTGTCTGATATTTAGATTTGAAGCTCACTGGGCCAACGAATGTTGTTTTTGTTCTGTGGTTTCATGTCGCAGGACGGGGCCGTAGTCTGTAACTAGGGCTCCTAGGCACAGTGGTAAAAATAATAATATTATTTGGAGGCAAAGTTTTTACCAGGACTATTTTTGTGGTGTAAGGGATCAGGCACTGGGCTGAGATAAAAGCCAGGTTCGGACATTACACTTTTACCAGTACAAGGGATTGCTGGAAATTGGTCTATACCCATATCAGAACAGAAGTTCAGCACACAGACTGTTTTAAAAATGGTAAAACCCAGTCTAAGATTTGCCCCTTCTCTCTCCTCCCCACCAAAGGGTGATTGTGTGTTCTGCTTGCTACCAGTCTAAACTATGCTGCTTACAGAAAATTGTGTAACTTAGATCAATTCTGCCTCAGGCTTTTTGAATGCTTGTACCTAGCCAAAAAGACCAGGTTCTAGTTTCAGTTTTGCCACTGACCTCATTTTGACATTTGGCTTAATTACTTCACTTCTCTGTGCTTTTGTTTAAGCTCTTTGGAACAAGAACTGTTTCTCACTATGTGTTGAGATAGTACTAGGGTAAAGGGGCCCAGCTTGGTTGGGGTCTCCAGGCATTACTGAAATATAAATAAAAACCTTATTTTGTCTTTCTACATTCATACTTCCATCTATTATTTCTCTTATTTCCATCCTTTTCTGTTCCTTTCTCCTTTTCTTCTTGTCTCTCATTTGTTTGATTTTTCCATTACATACCTTCCTAGTCTGTTTCATTTTTTAAAATATAGTTAGAGCTTGTCTACTCATGGAGTTATTCTTCATTCACTATTCCTTATTTCCACACGTAGACACTCTTATTGAGTAACAACTCCTTCTCTAGGTAAGCAAGACCACTCTCTCTTCTCCCCTCAACCTTCTCGCTTTTTCCTTTTTCTGTGCTTTTGTCTATTTCCTTATGGATCCTCTCCTGGATTTTTCATATCTTCTTTGCTGAGAAGCCACCACACCTGCCTTTCTAACTTCAGAATAAAGCAGGCATATAAGAAATCAAAGATACGGTTTGAAATACATGTGGACAAGAAGTTATATGAAAGCAACTAGTTGTTTTTGGTTTTATATTTAGATGTTTATACAGTGAAACCCATGTGTTTGGCACTTGTCTTTAGTCATATGGAATAAAAATCTTTTATTGCTTCAGTGTATTTCAGTTGGATTTTCACCTTTTTGTGATACAAATACTCCTTTCTTGTATTGAAATTGCACTCCATTATAACCAAGTTCTGCTGAATTTGTCTTCTTGGAATTTATCAATTAGCACCTACCTGCCATGCCTTATCACAGGAGGTAGAGAAGCATCCATCCTTCTGAAAATCTTTCAGTGCATCTAATGGACAGTTTACAAGGATGAGATGTTGGTCTAAAGAAACAATGTTCTTTTTCTGGACATATCCTCTTTCATTATGACAGTTGTGTTAAACACATTTGGCTCCGTGGGCTGGTTGAGTGGTACAGGGCTGGTCCATGGGCTGGATGCATGGTGTGGAGCTGGCTCTGCAGGCTGGATCAGGCCCAGCGACTCTCGCCACCAACCCCTCCCCCATGCCAGAACCAGCGCATGCAGTATACCAGACTGGCTAGGGTGGGTACCATGTGCAAACTGGCTGGAACAGGAACTGTGTGTGGTATGCATCTGAGACCCTGTCTATGTGGCTGGTCTGGTGTGTGTCACATGCAGTGTTTGGGTCAGCTCTGGACCTAGGAACAGCACTATGGGCCAGATGATCTGGCTTACAAGCTATATTTCTGACATGCCTGCATTATGGTAAAACCCTAGAGTGAGAAATTCAGTCCTGTACAAAGGGCAAGCTCAAAGGCCATTCAGTTTTGCCAATTTCTGCAGTTTTAAATTTTGCAATATATGGTTTGCTTGTTAATGCTCCAGCTCCTGAAACCAGGATATTGCATGACAGTGTCCACTTTCAAGGAAAAACCATGCTTCAATTTTTCAGAGAAAAACACTACATTTCCAGTTCCTAGGATTGCAAAGAAAAAATTAAAAATGAAAATGAGACCTTGAGACTCAGGAACCCGAGTCTCAAGAGCCAGACGACAACTAGAAACAAAACAAAATCCCACACTTTATTATTTAAAAAAACTCAAGATTATTATTCCTTCTTCTGATTGTTTTGGGGTCTGATCTTTGAATGTTTGGAAGTGGCAATATTGCATATAAATGGTGTAAGTGAGGATGATGATAATAATACAATACCTACCCCTTAGCTATCATTCTATCAGCAGGTTTCAAAGCACTTTAGGAGGTTAATATCAGTATCTGCATATTACAGATGGGGAAACAGAGGCACATGGGAATGTAAATGGTTAGTCCATGGTCACCTAACAGACAAGGTCCAGGAACACAACCCAGTCCAATCTGTACCTACTATGCCCACACTACCTCCCAGTTCTCATGCTATTTGCAAATAGATTAATTTCACCCACAGTGACCCATAGATTAAGAAACTGAATTATATATTTTTAAGACAATACTGTTATAAAGAATAAGCAGGTTTTTTTTTCTTTCCAGGTTAAGTCTTTGGATTCCAGCTTTCAGTTCACACAGAATTTGTTACAGTTAAGTTATAGCCCCTTAAGTATAAGAGGTTTGCAGCAAAATCACAGAAACTTAAGTACAAAACAGAGTTGTTTTAATACTAATATTACCTTTCAAACATTCTCCTTTGTTTTTAACCATTTTCTTTATTCACTAAAAAGAAGCTGTTGTGTAGGAGAGAGTAGGGAGAGGAGGTAGAATTTGTATTACTGTTCTGTTAGCTCAAAAATAACAGAAAATGATTACTGCTGTTTGTTGAAGCATGCCCTTGGAGATTCCTACTTTGTACTGTGAGATTAGCTGACAGAGGAAAACAAAAGGATTTACCCATTCCTGGAAATGACACACACAGTCCCCTTGTTTCTACATTGCACAGGAACTTTGCTAATTTATTAACAAAACAACTATGGATAAAGAAAAAAATCTTTAGAAATTGTGCAAGTGATTTTGTGCCCATTGATGCATGTTGGGTGACAAATTCTAGTGCTTCTCGCGGGATGTAAACACACTGATTCTTAGTATATTCAGAATTGGCAAAGATGTATGAAAATGCAGCTAGCAGCATCTGTATTGCTGGAGTTTTTTTTCAAAACGGCTAAATAGATTGGCAGAGGACAATCAGTACCCCAAGTTAAGTCTTATTTTGAAAGTAGTTAGCTTACTTAGTAAGTGTCAAAGTGTAGCAGAGTTACTGTCCTGGCTGTGTGTTTCTTGTACACAACCCAGGGAGTCCCAAAAGGGAAGGAGTTTGTTGTAGGAAATAATGTGATTTTTTTTCTTGCTTCTCTTGTCTGCAGCATGGAATTTTTACAAAAAAACTAGCACAGGTACAGATAGGGCCTAGGTTAAACGGCTCTGTGGCATCTTTATGTATCTAAGATTTAGTGTATAAGGTACGTCTCTATTCTGCCTTCTCTCTGGCCTTGGTACAGTGCTGCTGGAGTCAGAAAACTATAGAGTTCTCACCGTTGTAAATGTCGGTGTCACAGCCTCTTGTAATAAATAATAGCCTGAGAAATACAGAGTAACTAGAAAAGCAACACTAGAAACAGGAACCAATAAGTAATCAAGAGATTTGGATTTTGTGTTTAATGAACATGTGCCTGTTGGGGATATGCTTCCTTGTGTTTGCTCCCCATGATCACACTGCAAAGGCATGTAAGAGGCACTTGGCAACTGCCTAAGGACATGGTGACATGGTATAATTATGGAACCAGCCGAACAACAATTCAGAGCTGGTGAACGGATGGCATTTTAACTGTATTTTGTAAAGACTGAAGTCAAGAACATCATTGGACACACTTGGGAAAGAGACTGTCAGACTCTCTGAGGCACAGCCACTGCCACACTAGTGGGCTTAAGTCTGGCTGCTGGCGTACACACCTCCACATTACCCCCGTGCCACATCAGTGTCTGCTGCTGTCTCACAAGCAAATGGCTTGAGCACAGCCCGCCAGTGGCTGCGGTCGCACGGAGCCACCGGGTCACGCGTCCCTACGAGCATCTGGCGCTGGACAGGGGCGAGGCACGTGCAGCCCCAGCGCGGCTTCCCCGCCCCGGCTGCCTGGCACGAGGGGCCCCAAGTGCTGCGCTGCCGCTGGGACAGGGCTGCCCCGTTGTGCAGGTATGAGCTTCCGCCCGCGGACACTGCCCGGTCCTGGCCTCGCGGGAGCGCCTCCCAGACCGCAGCCCCCGTCATGCCCCGGCTTGGAGCCGCCGGGTCTGGAGCGCAGGGGGAGGGTTCAGCTCGGCGGGGCGGGGCCAGGAGCACCTGCGGCCGCCGGGGCGGGGCGG